AAGATATATATATATATCAGTATTGTATTTACACTCAAAATCGTCGTCAACAAGTTTAATCTGCCCAATGAAGCTCTTAAAAACTTACCCTATATAGATCGTTGTTTGTCAAAGCAAAGGGTAAATTGGACACATACACCGTGCTTTTGCTTGGTGCCAACCCACCACTCATTTTTCTGATGAAAAGCAAAAGAGAGAAGAGTTAAATTGTATTCAACAGAGCAATCAATTATAAAACAGTTGCAAGACTTTTTAAAAGTTGTTTTTCAAACCTAGCCCAGACGGTCATGATAAAGTTGCAGGAAAGCATAGCTTTCATTTCCCTTTCATCATTTTACATGAAATTCGTATATGCCTTCACGTGCTACAGAAGACATACATTCCCTCCCCTGGATCCAAAGCATATTTTTGCTGTATGCGAGTCAATTTGCAAATCATGAAAAAACAGACGAGTCAGTGTACTTAAAATAAGCCTCTGCTGATTTGTGCAGTAAAGAAAGGTTTAGGTCCAGAAAGAAACAAGTAATCTCCATTTATTAAACATTCTGGCCAATTTGTGAAATTAATGACCTTTGTCCAAGTAGCTGCATGTTCTGATTCTATATGCAAGTTTCCATTCAGCTGTATTCAACATAGAATAAACCACATTCAGTTAAGGGCGGGGGGGAAGCTTCCCTAAAGCAGAGTCCTAATTATTAAGGCAGGGGGAAAGATACATTTTAAAGCCAATGCAGTATCTCAGCTGCTAAAGCAGCAAGTATTAGCTAATTATTAAGGCGGGGGGAAAGATACTGCATTGGCTTTAAAATGTATCTCAGCTGCTAAAGCAGCAAGTATTTCCTCTTGTATCTATTGCTCAGGCTTCTACGCTGGTCTGGAACTGCAAGTGTCCAGAGCTGACCATAGACGGCATCTCCCCTAGAGGCACTCCCCCTCCTCCTCCTCCTCCTGATTAAGCAGCTCTATACTGGCAGGAACCAGGGAAACCCCAAAGCCGTTTTCATTTCCAATCTCTTTTAAGCTCTTGAAACTAAGTAGCCAAGAATATGCAGAGAAACAATGAATCAATTCAAAAACCTTTTTATAACTGCATACACATCATACCACTAGGTAAAGACTAACTGAACAGTGTTACGTTTTTCCTCATGTTTGGACATTTCCCAAAATTTTAAGTGGTGCTAAAGTCTGTGCCAGACACTTTGTCCCTCTGATCCATTCTGTAGCCATGGCTTGGTCCAAGAGCTAAGTGAGTAAAATTTAAGATCGGAATAAAGCACAACCCTTACGAGAGGGCACACCAAACAGCACAGCAAAAACATTCCCTACGCAGTCCAATTACTACCTACTTATCCAGTTTCCTGCAGCCTCATTCCTGCTTCTCGGCACCTCTAGCTGATTCCTAACTGAGGATCAAGCCATTTCTTCAGCAAGACCAACTCATTTTAAAAATGCAGACAAAAGCTGCTGAAAGGATGAAAGAAACTAAGTATTAGAAACCAACATCCATCATAGTACATACAATTTCTTAGGGGACTTTTCGGGTAGTGAGTCTGAGCAGGTTGCTTGGCCAAGTGCCAACAAAGTAACTAATATCACACTCTAATCCAGCTGTGGTTATTTTCTGGCATTGCATGATTCAGTCATCTGAAGACCTGACATTCCCCGCAGACACTGATTATCCAAGCGTTTTGCTTCTCTTTCCTGACATGCTTACTGTATCACAATTCATTTGAGTGCCAGTTTCCAACTGATTGAATTTTGAGTTCTTCCATGTTCCGAAACTGTATTTTTTGGCATGAGCAGAAACGGCAACATAAAGGTTAAGCAAATGAAAACAGAATAAATTTGCAATAAAGGCCATACTTTGCATCTGGTGTTACGCAGCCGGGGTTCATTATCCCAAATTCCTTGCTGCTTGGCATTAGTATCCTTGACAAGCCTAACCAGGCTGACTTGGCAACATGCCACGCGAATAGATGGCCCGAAGTGCAGTTATCCAGATGTACGGTGGATACAAAGGACACGGTAAGAGCTACCTTAGCGCTGCATTGTGGTATGTTGCCTATGCTAATATATTGCAACAGCAGAGGAGAAAACAGCAGAGGTGAACCTCACATGGCTGTAGATAGCAATTTTACTCTGCCTAAAAGACAAGAGAAGCTCGAGCACCTTGTAACAGGAGACCAAGCAGGCCCCATATTAATGGACAGACGCCAGCGAGGATGGCATGACTGGAGAGCAATCAGCTTGCGTATTCCGCAACACCGCAGTGCAAACCTCCAAAGAGAAGGTGGTATGTCATGTGAAGATTACTACAGGCCTAACAGCTCAGTCAATAGGAAATTATTAATGAACGCAAGTTACAGAACTGCCATGTTCAGCTGTACACTACTTTTTCCAGAAGCAAGCTGAAAGAGTTGCACCCTGGAGCACTGGCTCCCAGAGAGCTGAGGCTGAGCTTTGTTTCTAGTCCCCTGGACAAATTTAAGCGAAACAGTCTTGCTGCTCCGACGGCCCAGATATTCTTAGCAATTTGTATTGTTTAGGACTATCATGCCAGGATTTCTTACTTTTAATGTCTGACTCGCTGGACAGGCACAATTTTAATAAAAGAGGAAGTACAGTAACTGTAAAGCAAAACTGATGGCAAAGGTTCAAATTTACCACTCCAGGAAAGAGTATTTCCCCAGATCTGCAGGAGGACTTCCTCTTCTAAATACTAAGGGGTCATTGAGATGGTTTATAAATATCTTATTTAAGCCAGCAGATACACTGGCAGGTTTGCGCAACGGCAATATTTGGGCCGTTATTATCCGATTAAAAGCCTCATTGTCCTTACTAAGTCTTCTGCAGAACATTCAAAAATAATATTCTACCAAAGCCAACCTCTCAAAAAGTTTGAGCATGTTAAAATGCAGATTTCTGGTTATCTGTTGTGAATACAGTGGTATAAATGCAGTTTTAGATCCAACTACCGGCACAATTCTTCCCACCCGATAAACCTTAACAAAACATCATGTATCAATTGTAACTCTGCTATAACCAATCCATTAGGGTTTTTTTTTTTTTTTACCCACCATGAAGCCCCTGTGGGGATACCAAGTGCCAACACCATATAAACAATAGCTTTTTTTTCCTCCCTTCATTTATGGATGCCAAACCTGCCACAGCAGCTTCACATTTATTGGTCTGACGTTTTCTAGCTCTGTGTGTGTGTGTGTTAAAAAAAGTCAATTCTAGCCTTAAGCTAACTCTCTAGATGAGACACATCTCATCTGGAGGCTCATCATTACAAGGCTCAGAGTCCTTTTACTTCAGGAATTTTCTAACTGCATAGAACAGTCCAATACAAGTTTAACATTTTCATCACGTTCTTCCTCCTTGATCACCAGTCTCTCTGCTTTATAGGTTTTCACTTCACAGGCTGACAAAAAAACAAAAACCCTCCCAAAACCATCTGAGCTTTCTACTTGCTGCAGGGGACTCACTTGAGAGTCATGTACAACCTAGTTTCTATATCCTGCTAGATCTCCCCAACAAATGAAAACATTTCTGTTTTATACTGAATGCTTTTACGGGGCTTCCCTGATCTTCAGGGTATTACCTGGTCACTTAACTTTAAAGCACCAGCTGGAAGCCAGTACATTATCTCCCTGGGGTTGAGCACAACTCCCATTAATGTAATAGCCTCTCTGTAATATTAATGCCTTCTTCATTTATCATTTTCACATATTAACTTTCAGGATGGAGTTGTCTCCCACAACTATGACTTCTTGAACTCAATCTTTTTTGTCTTTTCCAACAACTCGAACTAAAAGAAGCCATTCTTTGACAAGAGCCATCTGTCAGTAATGATTAAGTCTCCTGCAAAACATATCGGGTACATGAGTATGTTTTGCTTGAATCCAATATGCTTATTGCAGCATCTGTCACTCATGTTGAGAACACCACGAGAAGACAATGATTAACTTCAGTAATTGGCTTTTCTACTCTGTCCCAGAACACATAAGGACACCACCAAAATAGTTCAGATGCCTCTGAAGCATCAAGTGGAGTCTGAATTTACTGATATTTTCATGACTTAACATCAACGTTTCAACTTAAGCACAAACTTTTCTGTTTGTTATGCTCATTCAGGCCAACTAATTTGAGTTCTTCTGTCTTGATCCTTAAGACACCGTATTTTATTTCTAATTTAACAGTATCAACAGAGTTTAGACCCAAATCAACAAACCATTAGTTGTGGCAGGAGCTTGGCTCAAGCTTGTCATCAAAAGTCTGTGGTAAAGGAGGAAACTGAACGCATGTTCTCCTTGGTCCCAGACAAGGGTATTAAGCACTTACTACACTTCTTTCCTACACAAGAGGCATGTAATAAACTATTAGAGCTGAATCTGTTTTACCTTTACGTAGCCACTTAAATGTTACAAGACAAATATTAAACAGGATCAGAATTAGGTAAATAAAGTTGACACTATCAGGAGAGTGGAAGAGCCTTTCAATCTGCCCAAGCCAAAGACGTACGCAAAAAGGATCCGTGGTCTGAATCAAGCTACTCTTACGTACTAATCTAACTACAAAAACTTTGGGACAATAGGACTGGGTGACCAGGCTGCCAGCAGGAACTACATTAAGAGTTTTAACAACAGTTTCTTGTTAAATGCATTTCCAGCATAGTCAAGACGTGAGAAGAATTGCTTGGTCTCACCCAGAAATTCACCCAGGAGAGGCAGATCCAGGTAACTCACTCAGGGATGCCCCTTCCTCCTGAAAACCCCAGCTGAGACAAGCAATCCCACGTCAGAGCTCAGTACGTGCAAACCAATATCAAGGCAAGAGAACTACAGACTACTCAGAAACTTCCACGCGTTGTGTTAAAGCCTTTCGCTGTAAGTAACATCACCCTGCGGTTCCTCTACCACGCCGCGGCCCCGACCGGCCGCTTATTTAGCTTTGCCCAGCTGCTGCGCGATGACAAACCGCTACTTCCCCGCCTACGACCACAAAAGCCAGAAGCGAGGCGAACGGCCTCCCCGGCTGTGAACGGGCGCTCCTGCCCCCCGCGGTGCCCCCGCTCCGGCGGT